CATCTTCTATGACCTAAAAAACAAAGCACAAAACCAAGATATTGTTAAGTTACATGCAAATAGGATGCTAAAAAGTGAAAAAATAATGATTAACTTAATAATTTTACCTTGTCTTTTGTCTTTCCACAAGTCCTAGAATCATGACCTTTAATACCACATGTGCTACAAGTTCGCCTTCTACTATGAGCTGTATTTTGTGACACTTGTTTTCCTGCAGGAATCCTAGAAAGTTCCTTTGGTCGACCCTTGGTTCTAACCTTTTCCGGATCACGAATATCTATGTTACTTGAAATTAAATCTTGAGATATTGCTCGAGCACCAAAATCTTGCTCACTTTGTTCAGTAACCAAACCTTCAAGCTCCTTTCTAATATTATATAATTGCCTTTTCAAATCTTCCACCACTGCTGCAGCAACATTATAAAGTTTGCCATGACTTACTGCTTGGTCATGCACTTCATTAAGAGATTTTTGAAGATTCCAAGAAGCAAGTGCAGAAACCACTAATTCTTTTGATGTGCTTATCAATTGAGCTTGTTTACTACTATATCTATATGCCAAGGTCCATCTAGCCAAAATGTATTGTTCAAGAATCTCTTCCATTCTATAACATTGCATCATTATGTGAAGAATATGTTTACACAAAATATCACTAGTCTTAAACTTCCCACAAGTACAAGCAAACTCCTCCTTGGACGGACCACATCGCACGGAGTGTGAATCAACCTTGCCCTTAAACCCATAACTAACATCATATGTGGTCATCCCATCATTAGTAGCTACTTCATCATGCATACAATATAAAGAATCTTTGAACTCACTCTGAAATTTAGCAAATATCTTTCTAGTGTAAACCATTCCAGCTTGAACTTCTAACTTATGCAAGTGACACGGATTTGGCTTTGCTTTCATTGTCCACATGTCTTCATTCACTTCCTCATCACGACAACATTGTAGGGCTTTAGCATATTGGCCAACAAACTCGGATAATGGTGTCATAGAGTTCACATAACCATCAAAAAATGAATTAATGCTCTCACTTTGTTGACTTGATCTCATTCCAGAAAAAAATGTGTCCCTCAAATACACATCAATCCAACTGTATCGTTGCTCATACATGCTTTCTAACCATTTCCAAGACTTTTTTTCATTGCGTTGCTTCTCTGTCAATGGCTCCATAAACTCTTGTTTATATTTCTCCTTCAACTTTTTCCATGCATTCTCGGCTTCTTCAATAGTTTTACTTTTTCTCACCCATTTATAATAATATTGTTCATCAAATCCAGGATTATATGATGATCTTAAAGCCCGAAGATGCTCATCCTCATGGAGTGAGATGTGCCAACTACAAAACCTATGACGTGTGTTCAGAAAAACCCTTTTAATTGCATTAGTGATTGCTGGGTCCTGGTCAGTGATAATTGCACCAGGTGCTTTACCCCCCATGCACCGCAGCCACCGCTTAAATAACCACACAAAGCTATCTTCCTGTTCATCCGATAGGAGAGCGCATCCAAACAAAGTTGACTGCCCATGATGGTTCACACCAGTAAATGGAGCAAATGGTAAAAGAAATGTATTAGTCCGATATGTCACATCGAAAACCACAACATCACCAAAATTTTGATACATTTCCCTAGCTCTCCCATCTGCCCAAAACAAGCTCCTACAAACACCATTTTCATCAATCTCTATGGCATGGTAAAAATTTTCAGCTGAAGCAGTCATGAATAGGAATTGTTGCATAACCATCATACACTCGCGACCAATGTTGCTCTCCCTTTTTTTCCTCAAATGTTGTTGACATTGTTGTGGGGTAATGTTCGATGTACCATTGCTTGTCACATTCAAAAGTCTTGCAATTCTAGAAGGTCCACAGCCAGCTTGTTTATATTGATCCATTAGCTCAATTGTCTCCGGCAACAAGTGTTCTTTGTTGTGGGACCGTAGCTTTTTTACTTTATTTGGGGAGTTAAACATCTCATGGTTATGTTCATCAATAAATTGGCTTATAATCCAAACTCCATCTTTCAAGAGAACAGACATTCGAGCACAACAATTTACTCGATCTGGACGGTCACATGTTCCCTTTTTTTTAGGCTGATAATTTCTCTTTTTTCCTGCCTTGTAGCAAACAAAATATTTTCGATTAACAGGTCCATCTGGGGACGACCTCTTTGCTGACTCCGTGCGAATACTAAATCCCATTCTTTTGGCATATTCATTATAAAATTCACGAGCTTCATCAGCCGAAGGAAATTGCATACCTTTACGAGGCATCCCACCAATAATGTCATCTTCACCCAACATTTTGGGTCCTTCAATTTCCATAGCAGTACTAGTAGAAATCTCTTCTAACCCCTCAAGATCATCCATTTGTACAGTTAAGAAGTTGTCATTGCTGACTAAGCAGTTGTTCCCATCAATTTCATTTTGAGATATTTGTTGTGAAATTGGAGAAGAATTCATCTTAATTCCTGTAATAAAAGATAATATAGGAGTAAGATTTTTTTCTTTCTTGGGTAGATAGATAGAGCATAGTTAGAAAATAAAGCACTTATCGTCCTTCGAAGAAACAGGGGTGACCGTTGATAGAGATGACGAATTGTAGCAGGAGGATGGGGTGAAAATAATGGGTGCTAGGGATTAAGTTGACGGCATGGGATTATATTTGAAAAATTGAAGGAATCAGAGGCGTCAATGGAGATGGGAAGTAATGGAGATGGGAAGCAATGGAGATGGAGAAGGAGATGAGTGCAGAAGGGCCAAAAAGAAGGAGGGGCGGGACATTAAGAGAGGG